ATATAACCCTGAATGGGTTTTCGAGGCTGTTCCAGAAAATGCTTAGTTCAAGATTACCTTTGCCTCACTTCATATTTATCCAATGAATCAGCCGTTTATGTTCCTGGAGAACAGTGTTTCTATGTGATGGAATAATAGGAGAGAGTTTGTCAAAACATGTTTCCAAAACATGTTTCCTAACACAAGGTGTTTTTTGACTTGGGTCGAACATGATAAACGCGCTCTACCCACAAACGATCAAAACAAAATGCTCAGCAGAATTAATAATGCGTGCCCTCAGAGTGATGGCACTAGGATAAAGGAAATAATCAATTATTAAGTCTGTTGCTTGGCAACTGACAACCAACAAGTTGTTGTTTGTTTAGGGGCATCAAGCTGAGGCGTAAATTCTCACGGATACGTAAATAACCGCTTCGCCTTAGTTTTATGGGATTCTGCCTGCTTCCGGATATTTATTGCTTTTTATACGGCAAATGCGTAACGTAAGCTCAAGTTCTGCTCCGGCTTTTGGAGAAAATTAGGATCTCCTCTAAGAAAAATCAAATGCTGATTGCGCCCGCTTTAAACACAACGAGGACAACCCATTGGGGTAGGGTGCTTCGTGCATGAAGATCGAATGACGGCTGAGTCCTAGTACAATAACACTAATTCCCTTTTGTATGGCTTGATGAAGCATGGAAACTCAGTGGTCCAGCACCAGAACCAAGTTGTCCACTGTTCTTCAGTACAGCATTACAATCGCGAGAGGGCAGTGAAAATAGAAATGGTTTAGAAGGGCATGTCCAAAACGCTCCAGATGATGCAACCCTAAGGAATTTCAATCGAGTTCTGCGTTATCATCCCTAAAATGAATGGTTGCCGTGAACAACAAAGTTTTAATACTTTGTAGCCGTGAATAACCTCAGCCGGGGAGGTGAGGTCACATAGACTAATATCACCTATTAGTCCTACAGTTTTAGTATACTTATGGGGCTTTGTTTGAAAGTGGGGTTTTGAAAATCTTCCTTGATCAACATGAAGGACGTCCGCGTACTGTCACTGAAATATCTTATTTATTACAGTGCCTGGTGATTTGATAGAAGGCTTAGGTCCATGTACTCAGGTAAATTAGTTTGCCGGATGATTTCTGCTGATTTTGGGTGCAGTTTGATCTCCATGGCTGCAATCGGGAAGGTTTTGTCTCCCACTGAGCCAACTAAACATAGTTACCGAAATTTTTGTTCAGGCTGACGATATTAACTGGGGATTCATGGTATATAGCTCGTGGGTTTGGACACGTTGGAGCATGCGTCATTGCTCAGTCACATACAGAAGTGAAAGGCACAGAGCAAGGCTGGTAGCCTCTTTGACAAGCAGAATTGAGAATGAAGATCGTTTGATGGTCTACCTAGATCTATTGCAGAATCAATGCTAAAATAGAAAGCTCTGGTTGTGTCTTATGTGGTTTCCGCGCGGAGGGTTGCCTCTTATTGACTAAGACAAATGCCACAGAAGCAACCAGTGGTTATTTGTTCAGCAGCTGTAAGATCCACTCATTTTCGTGTGAACATAGTGGGTATTTATTCGTATTAATCACTATTGGCATCTGTCGATTGTTCTACCCCAAAGGATCAGCAATCTCGTGGCGCCGTTTTGCTCGTGTGATACTCACACGCTGCTTCCATCCTGTGCATTCATGATCCCTTCTACGGTAGGTGGCAGGTTTGGCATTCAACAACATATTGATAATCAGTCCGTTCAGACGAACTGCACTTTGATGATGGAATTTGAAGCGTTGTTCCAAAACATATATCCAGGTGGATATATGACCAAAACAACCTTCGTGTTGTACAATCACCGCTCGTAACCAGGATTTCTTAATTCATTTTGAACTTGCTGGGTCGTTTGATAAACTTTTCTTCAAAAGGCTCCTCGCAGAAGCGCGCAGAGTTATGCTATTTCACGCAAGCAATTTCTTTAGAATGAAGGTATGTTTAAGCATTCACTCAGATTATACTGCTGAGGAGAATTTGCCCAGATGGAAGCTAGTAATCGTAGACGACTCAACGCCACTTCCGACGGAATAAACAAACGAACCGTCTGAACTACTGAGACAAAACAAGCTGATTTCTATGATTTTGTCAGACGCACAGAATGCAGGTCTACTCCGTCCAAACATTTAATTGGCAGGATGTTTTCTGATCACCAAAGTGGCCATTTCCAATTCCGCCTTGTTAGTTTGATACAGACTTGGAGGGACTAGTTTGCGTTAGGATATTTTTATGAAATTCTGAGATCAGTTTATATGTGGATCACCGCCATGAACAGAATTCCTTTTGTGGTAGTTGAGCTCTGGAAATAATTCGATCCTGAAAGCTATGCAGGCCAAACCGTTATTCACCAAGTCTTTATCAGAAAGACCATTGGAGGACATCCACACCAGGTTCAGTGAGTTTCTCTGATACGAGCGACGGGAGGTTGTACTATTAGGGGAACAACATTAGCAATACCTCATCTCTGTCCTCCTCCGGAAGAGAACTGGTAACAAAACTTTGGGTTAGCGTTTACCTTCAGGTATTTTGAAGGCGGGACGCTGTCATCAGTCTCCGGAAAATCGACCACGCCATCATTCACGCTGGTCAACAAACCTAGAAAATAGTGTTTTCGGGTTCAAAGTTACACTTTATGTGCCGGAGAACTGGGGGTCAAACAGCCATGCCTTACCCACTATGTCTGCCGGGAATGCACGCCCAGACATTTGAGCCAAAGTTCATAAACAACCGAAGGGCTTTTGGGATTTGAGACTGATACTAGTAGGTGTCTACAAACAAAAAAAGAATGAAGACCTGCCAGCGTCAGTCCCCATTAGAACCCATGTCGACGGACACGTTCGTGCTAACCCCAGATGACTTGGGGTCTTTCACGCACCCGAGTTGAAATTCTGTAACAATGACCTACCTAAACCGAGCGAACCGAACGATAAAGACTCAAGGAAGCTACTTACACATCCTTCTGACTTCCATTCCTAACACAGAAGAGAAACAATTCGGGTTAACTTTGCGCTGTTGGATAACAGGAATGGGAACGATCTGGATGCAAGAAACGTTTGATCAATCCGAGGGTATTGATTTTTTGATTTCGATTCACACCATGAGCAAAAAAGTCTGCCAGAATTTGTTGGCTCTTATCATATCTAGTCAGTTAATGGACAATATATTTCCCATGAATGACTTCAACACCCACGTTGCCTTGAGAAAAAAAAATTGACATCCTGCATTGGAATCACAAAATCTCACCTGTGATAATATGGAACCTGCCATCACCAGCGTACTGACAAACTTCACAGGAGCGCCCGTATGGATTCATGCGTGAAGTGAATATAGACATTGTTTGGAACAGATATTTCTGCAACAGCTGCCAGCATCAGTCGGGTGTATGAACCCCTGAGTAGGTTTAATCACCCTTGAAATTCCAAGAATGACTGGTGTGTTGAAAGCAGCTCTAAGATCCCATCTACTCAGAATAGTGACGCCACATTCAGTCAGTCATGTCATCTGTGCAAATCCGTGGAACAGGGGTTCAATGACTCCAATACATCGGGTAAACCTGGCCCGGCTAGGAGTTAGACGAACTTCTGACTATCCCTACGACTTGTGAGATCCCTTTCGAGGCACTCCCACATGAACCGATGCCCGGTATGTAGTAGGGTTTCTTGTCAGTACGCCTCAGGTATGTACTGGCCATACATAATTTTTATTCGTTTATTCTACCTAGAACCCGATTTTAGACAATTTCAGTGCCCTACGGAATAAAGGATTTTAGTAATGTACACACGGAATCACGTCAAATATATATATAAAAACCCACTGATATATTTGCATCATTTATTATCGCCCACAACTTTTGCTTAGATCTATTCATGTTTTGCGTACAATCAAAGATTAAAGCGACTTCTTCGTCTACCTATCTCGTCCACCAAAAGGCTCCAGATTCAATACCAGCTGCGATCGAGGACTGGTATCATTAGATATCATCTACACATTCCCTGAAGACAGTGGATCCTACGAATGCACCATCGCGAACCATTTCGGCATGGTCAAGACCAATCCAGTTACCGTCAGGTAGGTTGTTTGCGTAAAACGGGTAGGAGGAAAATAAAGCTATGACCGCATAAACGCAAATTTGCAGCCAGAAAAATTCGTATCCTATGGTATACGGCCATCATCCCACAAATAGCATGATGATGTACCGTCCATACCTACTCGGTTCTAGGATTCTACCACATTTATTCCCAATACTTCTTGGTCATATCACCTTTCACTGAAATCATTATTCAGCAGAAAAACGAAAGTACCTGTTTTATCTACCTTAAAAGTGCAAGCACGACTTACCATGGTGATAGCTGTCAGAATGTTCTACTTTATCATGTTAGCTAATCCCACCCACCCATAATTCGTCCTTCCCGGTAGAGCACAGAATTACAGTCAACTGACCAGTGCATGGTCTTCTGTTTCAATGACGAAATTGTGCACAAATTTTATCGTTTGTTTCCGCAAGAAAACTGTCATTTACCAAATTCTAAAAGGATGATATGACACAACCATATGTGGAGAAATTCACGAAATACTTTCTTGTTTGAATTGAGAACTGCCTTCTGACTGTTACACTCCCATACAGCGTCATGGCTGAGGTCGAGGCAGGCCACGAACAGGCTGAAGCTCAATGGGCCGCACTGTACGCGACACCGAGCGTTCCAACACGCGAATATGATAGGGATGAACGCAGTCAGCCGAAACAAGTGCCGCAGTTTGCGCAGCAGCCCGTCATCAGCAGTACAGACGTTCTGGAAGGCCAACCTGTACACATTGAAGCACAACTTGTTCCGACAAGTGACGCTACACTTCATGTAGAATGGCTTCGTGACGGTGAGCCTGTTGGAACAGGTGGGTTTTTATTTTGGAAACGTTTATTCCCAAATTAAAAGTTCGCTTGAGCAGAATTTCTTACTCATTTTTTGTCCAACTGCAGGGTACTGTCTTTTGTCACTGCTCTGGAACGATGTGCAGTAGTTAGGTGGACAGGGCTGTATGGGCCGTTGGCTTTTCATGCTAAACTCGTCTACCTGATCGATACCGTATTGGTTCCCAAAGTCCTTCAAGCTGTCAAACCTACACAACTCTGCAGAGTGCAAAGCTCTACAACCAAGTTAACTGTATGGCGCAGTTTGGTTGGCAGTTTAGCTGAAGTTTCTGTGTCAGGATGTTGCAATTCCACCACGGAAACTTGTGTTCTGCAATATTTTAATTAACAGCTTAAAAACGGTAGTTGACTGGGCGGATTTGTCACCATGGGATCGCAACTGACTAAACGGCCATCTAGTCTGATCGACCATTAGGGACGGACCGCATTAACAGTTCGTGTGAACGTTGCAGTATTTGCAGTAGGCTATTTATGCACAGTCCAACCCTTTCCTGATCACAATACTTCACTGGGATAATACTAGTGGGTTCAAATCTGCGTACCCTAAAGAAATCTACTGTTCTAGGAAACAGCTTAAGGCGCGGGCTCGGGATAGTTGAAAACGTAATTCAAATTTATAGATTTGTGAATGAACTGGTTGCAGAATTTTGTGTCCCACTAAGAAATTTCCCTAAGATCTTCCATGCTGCCAATCGGTGGTCACAAGCAAAAAGAAAGTTTCAAACTGAGAGAAAAATGGAAGCCTTAAAAACTGTAAAGTGGACTGCAATATTCCCGGGGCACTTGTAGTTTACGCCATAAAGTGCGTTTAGACGAGAAATCTCTATCTGCCCGATCTATATATCATGCCATGAAGGCCTTATTTCGTTTTATATGCTACCTCCTCGTGAACCTTCATCATGTGGTCTTCGCGAGATATCATTCTGTACTTTGGAGCGGCATTGCATAAGCACTGATTTCCCTTATTCTAACATTGATGTCACTTTCCCCGATGTTCGCCTGTGAAGTAAATATTGTGACATCATATTCATGCGAGATGACAAGTACCCGTTTGAAAACCGATTCTTTGAAATCTGTCGATCTTAACAAGACACATCGATGTTGATTTTCCAAAAAAGGCCAATTATGAAGAGCCCAAGTCCATCTATAATTGGATTTTTAACATGGGCAAGCGGTTTGAAATTCTATAATTGGAAGGTGAAACATGTTTGCTTCCGTTCCATTTTATTTCAATGGTTCAACCAGTTTGGCGTATGCAAACAATGCGTCTATATGTACCGTTCCGAAACCGTCCATTCATTTTGCACCAAAGCTTAACTATTACTCCTGCTTATTCAGCTGGAAGATAAGGAACGGTGACCTTAGAAATTAGCAATGCTGCATTGAAGAACACTCTCCGACGTTATCGTCTACTAATTATTGAACTGTGCTGCTATAACAGTTTGAGATGAAGTACCACAAAGTGATTATAAGGACTGGTCGTCGGTGGATGTAAAAGGGCTTTAAGTTAGGCTATAAAAGCTACGATTGCTTGTTGTGCACACTACATAGTAGTAGCTACCTCAAGGAGTGTATATCTTCTGATAATTTGTCACTTTATTGTAATAGTTACGAAATAGAGAGCATAAAACTATGTGGTCCCAATCAGTCTCCACGATCCAATCTACTCTCAGAGCATTTCAGTCTTACCCCAGTTATCCTATTAGAAACAAAATCAATCCTGACAACAGGACTTACGAATTTTCGTACGTACTGAAGTAATAGGGCGGGTAGAGACACGTTCCTCACATGGAATTCTTTGCCATATATCAGTTTCATCACCTCAAAAATTCATCAAACCTTTAATTCACGTAGCCAAATGTTTTACACTTTAAATCTTAGAGTTGAAACCGACGGATCGCTGTAACTTATGAACGAACTAATGCTTTGGTGCTATTTTTTCTGAAATGCTAATTTTGCGAAAAGAGAAAAACTCCTGTGGTTCTGGGGTACCGAGCTGACATGGCTGTTTCCGAATTTGCAGGAAGTCGCTTCAATTGCTTTGTCGACCGTGGCCTAGTAATATTGCAAATTGGCTACTGTCTTGCCGATGATAGTGGTCAATATGTTTGTGTTGCTTCCAATGCCCTTGGACGTGAAGAAAGTCACCCGGTGGAGCTAAGGTAAAGGATTTTGTGGACAAATTCCTGTCCGTGGTTTTGTTTTCCATTTTCGCTCTTCTGCTCAGAAAAGTAACTTTATTCTCAACCACATGGAAAATTCGATACTTTGTTTATTTGAGATGTTGACCTAACTATCTCGGTTACATTTTCACTGATTATTTCTGCATACATTGGTCCTTCGGATGATGTAGTAGCCAGTGACATTTAAACCGATCATTGTGTATGATTCTCTTTAGGTCCGTTTGAACTATGTAAGTGATAAAATTACTTAGGCGTTGCCCGAATGGCGTGCTTCACACCGGGTGCCATGGAGACCGTAACAAATATGTTTATGAATCACTGTTTGTTTACCAAGCCGAAAACTTTTGCCGCATACACACCACCGAAATCATTTGTAAAGTGTTAGTTACTCATCCTTATCTCGTCAGCCGCTTACTAAACACAGCCAGGTGATTTTCGGTATTTCTATCAATCAGAGCGTAGATGGTCTTCGTGAACGTACAATGCAGTGACTCAGTATGCAGCGTGGGCAGTAGCGTAGTATTCCAATTGTACTCTAGTGGCTTTCTGAGAGTGGCTTTCTGATAGTGTCAGTCAAAAAGTACTTTCGGTTCTTTAAAAGAGGACATGAAACCTTAAACCAAAACACTGCTCTCCAATGGCTCCTGCTCTTCGCAGTAAACCCCGTTCCAAATGTGGGGAAATACCTGTGGAGGCGAAGGCGTCAGTATTAAGTTGCAGGTTAAGGAGGACCACAGCTAGTTTGTATAAACTGCTTGCTGAGACTGATTGCATGTATCGAGCTACTGAGTATCTGTTAACGATCACAGCAAGGTAGTGTTTCTTCACAAATTGACCACAACGTATCTCCCATAACGAGTCTCCCGCATGTCGTATACCAGTTCCCCTGCATTCGCGGTGAGATCTACATTAACAAGACGGACCGGATCCAAGGTGAACCATCCTAGATACACGTACCCCATTTAATGACTCAGCGGATTCCCCAGGACTGAAAACTGACCTTGTCGACTGTAACACGCATTCAAGGCGCCAAATATTAGGTTGACCCTCAAAGCTTCATTCGGACTTTTTGTTCAGTTCTAACTCCAACCTTTTATTTTCTAATCTAATCGATAATGATTAATCACTATGGTCACTGTAGTCACCATACACTAGAAATTCCTTGGAATTCGCAGTTAGTTTGCCTTGAGCACAGGGCAATCATCCTTACTTATTCACACAATCACTCCCTAGGTTCATCATTCTGTTGCGACTACACTTCTGAAAAACTTTGTGTTCTCTATGCTGCTGATGAAATGAATGTAAAATTGTCACTCCCTAGTAGGCCTCTTCTTGATTTATTGTTCAGATAGTTTCAGTTAACCAAACGCATCACCATTTGGTCCTCAGTCAAGGTGCAACTGCCAGTGTGCAATTATGCGACCAAACGGTGTGGTGCACCTGTGAGGATCCGCGAACCAGTGGCTTACCCTTATGCACATCAATATTGAGAGTGACTCTCCATCGTATGACTCTTTCGGGCTGTTTATCAGTTCGTTACTTTCGGCTGCTTTCATTGGTTGCCACTTATTTTCATCCTGGTGTTTCTTTGCCCTGAAAATAAGGGCTTCAAGGGGCTCAGGTTTCTTCGTTCGTTGATGGGAGATTCGAATCCAAATGAACACACTTTTTCAGTAGCTTGTTCTCTGCAAGGACTTCTGCATGCAATACGTTCTGTTTGGCATTACGATCGGCTAAACCTCTTGTGAATCGGTACTCTTGCGAAGGGCTTACCCCGGTGGTTTCTTAGTTCCCCGTGCGGAAATGTTCACATTTTAGAATGTCAACATGTTACCCTTTGGATCGTAGTATCCGGGAGTTAGTAACTCCGGATTGAAGACCACATATATGAGACAGCACTTATTCTTTGATTTCGTACCGTTTTCTGCAACCCTCCTTGGCTCTGTCCGGGCTAGAAGTCTGAGTTGTTGATCAAAAGCTCAAATAGTTTGCCGTCAATGGGGATATTTTAGAGTTTCACTTGAAAATGTATGCTAATATACGACCGTTAACTAATCAAACCCATAATTAGCTAGTCTCGGCCTAAGGGTGCACTCTGCCGATGATTTCCAGTAAGGATGAAACAACATTATAGGCTTTTCCGTTTCCAACAGGATATAACAGTATGTTTGGGTCCCCTGTGTTTCAAATGGCAGAAGTATTTCTTATACAGTTCAAAAGAATAATTTATAAAACTGGCTCAACCTTTGTCCAGTTTGGTGATGAGTGGTGGATAGGTCATTTTTACGGGTTGTTCTTGTTTGTTATCCGTGCTTACAGTTGCGTGGCTTTGTGGCAGCGCAAACTTTCCATAGGATGGGAAACGCTTTAGCAATTACCTCGGTGCCTGACATCCTTAAGATGTGGCAATACATTAGTAGGACATTTCCCGGTGGCATGTGGTGCTTATGGGAACGGGTATATTAGGTTACCTTCCTGAAGCGCCTTACAAACTAATCCATTATAACCTGATGCATTTCACATCACGTGCGCGTAATCGTGACTGTCAGTTTACAGGAAACACTGACGTAGATGCACGAAACGACGAATACCATAAGCAAATAGGTTTTGCCACCAATGGAGAACTCCTCACCAAAAAGCGAACTCGGGTTACCATGTTGTTATAGCACAAGTTTCACAACAGTGGTACAGTCGATTCCAGAAGTTGCTTATAGGCTTTAGAAAGAGCCAATGAGACGCTATTGAACCACAAATATGGGTCAGTCAACCAGTGTTAGAAAACGGAATTCCATTATACTACTAATATTCATTTGGCTGTTAAACAGGTAGTCCTAGGAAAAATAAATTTAGGTTCAGTTTGAGCTGTTTTGTCATGTGAGAATCCACATGAACCTTAGTTGAGTAAACCTTACTGAATTGTGTTTTAACATGCTTCAAGACAATGACAAATTTTCTACCTACTGTTTAACCTGCACCCACGAAACATAATGTTGAACGCTACTGTCAATTCTCAAGATGACGACGACGAAGTGGAACTACTGAGATTTATGTACCCTTTGATTGGCCACCAATTAGATATGAAACTGTGTTGCAAAACTAGCTACTGTTAGTTGGGGTTTCCTGTCCCCGACCTTTTCAAATATAGGTGTGAATTGCACCGGCATAAACAGACTTGACAAAATGGTGACAATGAAACTGAAGTGGGTGAGTAACACCCAAAGTAAGTATTCTGGGAATCGAAGGTGATAATTATAAGCAAGATATAGCCACTATTCAGTATGTCCGTTTCAGACAGAGTCCAATCAGTCCAGATCCCGACAAGCTTCAAAAATCAATTCTTCTTTGATACTTCACGAATCCTTTTCAGACCGAAACGTTCCACGTTCATTGCCTGATAGACCTCTTAGCGATTCGCTAACAGCGCTTCTAAAATTAATTATTTCACCTTATGAACATGTCTTGCTTAAATGATGCTGATCAAGAATAAATGTGATCCTGCTAGTGTTCGGCACCTGGTTCTAGTAGACATTTCTCCAAAAACGATAAAACATCATGGATGTTTATTTCACACACTTTTTTGCACAGTTGAGCTCTTCCAGTAGCAGTTGAAGTGGCAAAATTTTTTTTCCACAAACTACTTCATTCTATCTTCTCATCTGTTTGATATTTAATGCAGGTGCATACCGGAGGAGCGGGTTGTAACCAAATCAATACTGGATCAACAGTCTATTAATCATCTGCGGCAGCTTGAAGAATTCGGGGAAGAACACAACCCGTGAGTGCATTTAATGACCCATTGTGGCATGTGTTTGTGAAAGATGACCATTTCACGCTAGATCGCATGTGGTCTGATTTATGCTATGTTTACCCAAAACTTAATGTCAGATTACTCTCCAAGTAGAATTAGTAGGCAATTCGGAACTGCACTTTGCCACGTCGCTAAACAATGTGGTTTAGCACCTCTTCGCTCTGGGACTCCTCTACATTCCAAGAAGTTTGTCGGCCGTTTTAGATGGACTGAATGGAAGGTTTCTGCTCTTAAATGGAAATTTTAGCTTTGAATCTATATTAGGTTTGGCTGCTCTTATGAGCGCAAATCTTCGAAGTGTCTACCAAAAGTTAAAGTCCCAAAAAATCCTCCGTTTGCTTGTAGCACTGGTCCAGATGTACGGAAGAACTCCTCTTTTCGAGCCCATATTTCCTCCATTTTTATGTTGCACTTGCAACCGAATTGGACAAAACTGTCCACGAATTCGGTTTGGACGGGAGACTTAGCTAACTACAGTGGACCTTCACAAGCAAGAGATGCAGCTGAATTCATTTGAGTTTCCTGTCAAAACCAACTTCGTTTGCAAACGCGGGTGTGGGTCGAAACTTGTGACAAAATTATCAATGAAACAAGGCTCTCAAAGCGGAATGTGAAAACTGAACAAAAGTGTACAATAATTTGAGCCGCTTGATGATTAATCATCCGTAATTTTAGGTTTCCCCAGTTCAGTTCAGTTCTTTTAGACATGCTAAATATGATCATCTGATCATTCTAATTGGTGCAGATGATAAGAGAAGTTCGTGCATTGAACCGTTGGAGTTCCGATGTAATGTGTCTACGCCGAGTTCACCGAATTAGGTACGACTGTTAGGTAACAGCGATTTGAAGGTTATGCTATTCAATGTCCACTAAATATCTTTATATCTTAGCATTTTCGTCTCTGGTCACAACTGATTTTCTGCTGCTAGTTTTGTGTCACTACATGCATGTTAGAGCTGCCTACTTAAGAATTCTCTTGAAATTGTTCGTGCTGGTGAAGCCACGGATAATAAATTCGAATTTCAGACGTTTCTAGGACGATACGCTCCTTGTCATACCCATTCAGCTTATCATTCTCTTAAATAGGCTTAGTAGTAGGATACATTTAAGTTGATGGAAAAATCATTTCTCGGAAAAAGTTTGGGTCCGTCATTTTTGAACTTGGACGTCTAAGTGAATAACCAGATGCTTCGCAGGTGGCTTTTACTCTGTTTGATTAAATTTTCGCTAGTTCCGTCTACAAGCAAAATTTAGCGATGCACAGCTGGAATCGATTTGTCGGTTCCCACGGTCTGCGTCGTACTGCAACAATACCGAAAAACTGTGCCAAAAATCGCGCGCTTTTGTTACCTATCGATTAACCTGGAAACATGACTGCTGTAACGACCAGTCGCCCGTATTCTGAATCAGGTCGGAAAAGCATGTCAGGTCGATGAGTCATTGTGTTTTATTACAGCATTTGTCGAACGACCATGCGTGCTGACTTTATGTTGCATTCATCTCTGTAAAGCACATCAGGGGAAAGTTTTACACTCCACGACAAACTGTGAGTAATGTACAATATTTTCCTACGAAAAGCCACGCTTCACTATCTATTAGATGCTTGGAAGTAATTATTTTGAAGAAATGACCTGATAATCAATGAAGCTCCCCAGAACGCCAAAATAAGTGGTTTTAGAAGAATGAATTTCAGCGTCTATGAAATGATTTTTATAAACCCCTGGCAGAGTTACACGTTTAGATTGCCGTTAAGAAGGGGACCTAAATGTCTACGTTTATGCCAAGACACTCACAGCTCGGACCAAAGTAGGAAACTTTCCATGACTGTGAAACTAATCTTGGGTGAAACATTAACGAAAAATTAATTGATTTCAAGAAACAAACAATAAAATTACTCGTAAACAGTCAACAAAGGTCGAAGCAAAACTACTAGAGTTTTCTAAATCCCCACTAGCCTAATGGCGGCTGACCTAGCTGCTTATTCAAAGTAGCCACTATGGTGTTCAGCACCAGTTTATGCATCACTATGTTGATTGTAGGGTGGGCGATGTCTGGCTTGGAGCTTCATGGTCAGTTAACGCGTTTTTGGTGTGTGCATGTTCTTGGAAAGGCCCATCATCCAGTCGGAGGTTTCCATCCATACATTTTTAACAGTACTGACTGGCACGCGTAATTGACAGTACCTGACTCCAAGCATTTGAATATTATGAAAATCGTTACATCAAGTTGCTTTTTATCCATTAGAAGGGCACTTGCTCTATACCACATTGTTAGTTTTGAGTTTTTATTGCTCTGCAAAAATGGGCGTTTGAAGTTTATGTCCCTTAATGGAGGCATCGCGGTCGATTGGTGTACAAAGTAAGAGGTCTGAAGCGTGAAAACGCGGTTCCTAATGACACAAGTTTTTGGCCACCTAGCGGTTGTTTCAGCCGTATCCAGCGCTGTCCTAAACGGACACAAATGGGTAAATTACTCCTTGTTTTCCTAGCCAGTTAGTTCAAAACGGGCACAAATTTTTCTTAAAATGGCCTACCTCTACTAGTCACAGACTGTTATTATGAAAGTTTTAGCAAAGATGTATTCACGTTAGATTGTGTTAGTTTCACAGTTTCACGGCCCGGCTTTCATTCAGTGGGGACTTTCAGCATAAGCACTGTGGATACAAGTCGGAAAGCAACTAAGAGAGTCAGCCAGATAAGGCGTCAGTGGCTACGTCTGTTGGGAGAAGTGGAAAGCTAATTATCGCAAGAGTTAGAGTTATAGGTAAATATAATCAGCTTCTATCGCATCCTCTACGTTTCACATAAAACGCCACTATTAGGTGAGTGAAAATGAATGCTTGGTTCGGCTGACTAATGGTCTACTCGCAGCAAAATTAGGACTAACCAACTGCCAATTATCTGGCAATTTTTGAGTTGCTCTGGCTTGTAGCTACGGTGACCTATGCACCGTATTTACTACGCAGAAACGGACAATTATAAGCTTGGAAATATATAAATCCAAACACATTGCGTTGAACACGAGGCGCGCAAGTGCACATATATTGTTCACCGTAGTATCACGATTGTGATGCTCTAACTTCATCATCAGTGCAGACCAGCCCTCATGGGAGACAACAGTCCACTCTCTCCAAAGGTTGTCTTCGTGAATTGGAAGACAACTATGTCGGAGTGGATGGATGGGGAATCAGGGAACAATTAAAATGCCAGCCACTATGGACACAATCAATCAAACTAGCAATCTAATCAATCTATTTCGTCTCCTAGAATGCTCAACATGACGCAACAATTTGTCGCAGAGATTGCTCTAGAAAGGTTCTCTCTACGACTGTAACAATAGCCTTTCCGAATGGTCAGTATATGGTACAGATTTTTTTTTTTAAAAATGTGCAGGTCCACCAAACTTGCTTGGCTATTTCGATATGTTCCAAATCTGATTTCTAGCTGAATGGTGATGGCAAATCATGGAACTGGAGAAGCAATGCCCACTGAGTTACATCCGATTGTTTTTCAGTAATTTGATGCAGTGAAATAAACCATTAGATGTTTTGTGCTGATGAAGATATTTCGACGTTTTAAAAGTGTCCAAAATTGGGAGAAATGCGGCGTGCGTCTAGTATATTCAGTAAAATACCACACAGATTGAGTCAATGGGAATATCAAGGCGACTTGCATAATTTTCGTCATGTATAGTTTGGTACTCAAGAGGGAAACGAAGCTGATGAGTAATCGGGTCGACGCTAAGTTTTGGATTTAAACAACGGTAAACAAGGGATACCACTTTGCAGAAGAAACTTCAGTAACCTTGTGTTATATATTACTGTCGTATTAAACGCTTTGTATCCTGTATATTATTAATGCAAATACGTACAGTAAAGCTTGTACTTGTGATTTTTGTTTTATCTGCTGCTATTTTTAGCTGAGGTGGAAGATGTACGGGTGGGAGAAACGCACTTAAAATGAGTTATGGGCGCGCCATTTGGATTAAACGGCTTCGCTATTTTTATGGTTCGTATAAGATGGTCGTAAAACTAGAGGTACTAATGATAACGGTTAAAGGATTTTCGAACGTAACGGTATAGGACATGAATGGACACCGTCCAAAACAGATTTTGTCTATCAGAGAAATGTTTCTGGGCAACTATCCGCCTTCTTGCTTTTTTAATTCACGAAGCAAATGAGACTGTTTTACTGGGTTTTATATTTACTTTCATACTGTATACATAGGGGTTAGGTCATGTAATTCAATAAGTCAAACGGTCAGTAAATATTGTCGGTTTACAAAAGATTGACGTTTCTTAAAGTTAAAAATAAGACTTCACACGTTTAGACATGCTTAGACTCTTTGTTCGCCCTATTAGCATTCGGTAATTGTCTAGTGCGATTGCTCTTCAAGCACCGATTTTCGAGTGTTTCATTGATGGAAAACAGGCTAATCTATTCCCACCAGGCAGCTTATATTATGCGAGATCTTTGTTTCTCGGAATTACAGTATTTTGGAAGAGGCGAAACACGGTATTCCACCAACCTTCAAGTCCGGAATCGAGCCGCCGTCCATTGAAGTACATGAGGATGAACCCGTTGCATTCTTTGTCCCTGTAGACTGTGGCAATGGAGATCGAGTGACAGTTGAATGGCGCAAGGACGGTGAAATCGTGACTACTGGTGAGCAGTAATCGCACAGCCATGCTTATTTCTCTGATGTGTAAAACGTTTTCTAAATCTACTTATTTTCTCTTGAGCATCGCAGCTGCTCTTCAACACAATGTCACAAATATCAAATAATTACGTATTTTGGTTTAATAACTGAACATTTAGTTGGAGCGCAGAAAACATTCTGCACGTATCATACAGCTTACCTGACCCATAGAAGGACGTTCTAACCCACGGACCCTACGTGGTCACATCAAGTGGAAACTGATTCGTAATTTTGAAGGACAAATGAAATTCATTTGCCATTCTCCTGTATGTATGCGTTTGGTTTACTCGGGTCGGCTACAGCAATCAGTGTAGCTCTTCTCCCTCCGGCTTTGAGAAAGCGCCGATATTGACCTCAATGTGGGAATGAGGGTTTGCCAAAAATCTGACTATCAAGCTCCGTTGTAATCTTTGATTGGACTCATTCTTCTGAGCGGTTTTTAATATCAAGATATTAGGCCAGATTATCGCGCACATCCACGATGAAGAAAGCAGTGAGTAAATGTTTCCACGAGGGAAGACTAGGAAGCTGTTCAACTCTCTCTGTCTGTCTCAAAATTGGGATTGAAAGGGACTAGTTTAAAACCACATCCCCGACAGTACAAGGTGGCTCTAATTGCTCAGTGTTCAGGGGTAAACTCAGGTTGAACTGTCTGCGTGCCACGACTATCCGAAGCAAGTCTAACGGAGCGACTTGAATAACAAATCACTGAACTGGATTTCCTCCTCCTCCATGGGCTTCATAAATATTTTGTTTCCACGGGAAGAAATGGTCTACAATACACTTGAATGAAGATTACGAGACATCCTCCCCAACTTGCCAACGCTTGATTTTCGATCGAGTGCCAAAAACACTTCGGATATACAGCCTTCGTGCCTTCAAGTTGACAATAGTTTAGCGTCATTTTTATGCTGAATTTTCGTTGGACTGAATCAAGTTTTCAGTGAAATTTGTTGCACAGGAGCCTGCTCATAATTTTCAAGCAGTCTAATCTTACCAAAGTGATTGTTTTGACCGCTTTGGCTCGGAGATGATCGATCCCCGAATATATCTGTACATTTTATTCGAGTGGGATTACGTTGCATAACCGAATTTGCATGCTCAGTGGAAATAGTATGACTTAAATGAGTCTATTCAAGCTTCACTATATAAACCGATGTAAGATCCTCATGTGAATGAACCAAATAACCCTCTTAACAATCGCAAAGAACCTTTTCGCCTGGTCATCTAAGGTAAAAATGTGCAATGAACATGTCGATGGACATCATTGAGACATCGCATAGAAAAATATCTTTCCATGGTGGGCAAAAGTTAAAATAAGTTTAAAACTTTTGCGAGCAAAGGTACGCGTATACAGGGAAATCGACCGATATCCGCGGATTTTAAGTGGGCATGGAGGCAGGTAACAAAATGTTCGCTAACTTGAGCAACTCACATGCTTAGGGAATATATTCTGCACTAAATTACTGGTGAGTATTGACAAAGGGCAACTTAGTGAATAGTATCCTTCTCAGGAAACATCGGAATTCGCAACTTCTCATTAGTGGAGTCAGTGCAAGAAGGCATCCATCCGTCCGCGAAAACGATGTCATGTAAGCCTTTCTTGCAGTAAGCAGTCATTATGTTTGAGAACAAAAGAACTGTTTCTTCTGGTGAAATTTGCCTGTTTTTGAACAGACGCCTGGTGACAGCCCCAGATTATTTCACTCAACCTGCATAGCGGCTTTCATGTCAGGTGTGTACGAAACCGATTAACAATGGCACAGACTGACTTGCAAATTGCACCCTGTTTTGGTCTTCGGGACAAAACCAAAACTTGAGTACGTTGGCCTATTCGTAACCCTTCTCATCCATCTTAATGCCAAGAATTTTGCCTCTTCCTTTATAGAGTGTACACGTATTGGCGGCATAACGGAATACTAAACTTTCATCGATCCCTGTGGGCATTATTCATAGCATGTACGTATAGGATAGTTTTCAGTTGTTGAACGTGAAGCGCGTAACTCGAAATAGTTTTTTCATTTGTTATAGTGGTCTAGAACAAGTAACATTTGTGGCGAGAAAAAGTCATCAGGAAAACTGCCTCCTGTTTGTTGCCTAAAAGTAAGAATCCCAGTGCACTTAATGCGGGTTTATTATGCCCTGGGGTTATATTTTTCCTCAGTTGAACTTGTCACAGCTGGCCCTAAGAAGTGTATTATTTTACCCGTGAATGAATCCATTGACTGACAAGACGAGATTCGGTTTCGTTTTATTTTTCCCTACAAACCAGGTTCGCGCATCACTGGAAAAATCGAGCTAGGTGTAGCAAGTTTAAAGATTCATTATGCACAGCCTGGTGATGCTGGAACCTACACTTGCCACATTTCAACTGAGTATGGAAATGCTGACAGTCAACCGGCGACGTTGCATTGTGAGGCTTCGGGAACGATCATTGCAGCAAGTCAGCTCCCCGGTGACAAGGAAAAAGGTAAATGTGATAGAATTAAATATTTGTTCGAATGTCTAACGCATCCGCGGCTAGGATCCCAAATTTCAATGGACTCCGTTTGTTACTGCCACTGATGTATAATTTTAATTTTAATAATTTTGATAATTTTAATAATTTTAATATAATTTTAATTTTAATAATTTTTAATTTTAATTTTAATGATTTTAATAATTTTTCGAGTTCTTTTGGAACTATATTTTGATGCTCGACGCTTTTCATTTTGCTTCCTTGAACAGGTATTAGACGTACATGACAAGATAAGTTATGAGCAGTACAGGTACACGCGGAGTTGCCAAAAACACACAAGTTTGGGAGTGGAATAGGGTCACCGAATTCTCGCTGGCCAGATGATACCTTCATGAGCGTGGCTACTAGTGAATGCTTTTTGTGTCTGTTGCGTTTTTTAAACTTCTAGGTCCGACATTTTCCGGATTATTTCTTACCTTGTATGACGTGACATTTCAGCACAAGATAAGTGTCTGGTCCGTCGTGGAAATCGCGCAAGCTTGATAGCAACTATCGCTGGCGTTGTTCGCCTGTCATTCTTTTGGACAAGTAAGCTGGGAATGTCGACATCTAAGCAAACTGAAAAAAAACCAGCAAGCCTGATTTTTTATTTTAAGTTCGACTCCCGCCTGTGCTGCCGTAAATATTCGTGCAGCCCGAATTCTGATAGCATTTTAAGTGTTTCTGTCGGAGAATTTTCATAACAAGCTGCACAGCAATATTTCTAGGGCCGCGACAGTTAGTTGGATGAAACTGCGCGGAGATGTTTTGCACCGGAGAATGGAAAGTTTGTTGACAGATGTGTAACCCGTCCAGAGTCCCCGTATTCACGTTAACTAATCATTTGGGGGGAAACTGGTTAGTAATGGAAGAAAGATCCTCTGGACTTGGTTAACTGATCCGTCATGTTTATGAATATGAATGCACACTTGTTATGGGAACACTCTGTGTGTGTATTGCCTCTTTTTATCTCTAATGGCTCTCCCACTCTCGCGGACAGTTCGCTGCACTTGTTCCTGCGCACGCATCTCTTCTCGATCGACCCTCCTTTCCTCTCCGGAGGCTGGTACCTCGAGTATCCAGCAGCACACAAGCCAGTAGAATCAACCATCAGAGCAGCAGACGCAATACGTGTCCCTGGCAAAGACGAAAAAGAACATCTGCAGGATCTGTCTTTAGAAGAATACGAAAAAACTAACGTTTCAGCCAAGCTGGATTGCATCAGTCATCCTGCTTAGACGGCACGACTTTAGGTGGCATGACAACTTGGCACCAGGGCAATTCTACCGTGGTAGACGATATACCACCAGGATCAGACCCTAGAATCCAGGAAAACAAAATGTTTTATCCGAGATTAAAATGGCCCATTACTGAAGTACCACTGATCCTTTCGTAGAGTTTCTGTTTACTGTGCCGGTATTTCTACATGCCGGACGCTTGTGAGGTTGATAGCAAACACTAATTAGAAAATATCGGCTCTTTCTAGCGGTAATTTAGCCGGCTATCAGGGTTGTATTTTTATATAGACGTTTGCGTATTCCGTAGGTCATCCAACCAGCTTGTTTAAATTTATTCAGGCTTGCAAGCGATTGAAGCAATTGAAGCCATTCTCCATGCGCCCAGAGGAGCCGCATTTGAAGAAGATGGCCCAGTAGAAGCCCCATGTATAGTGCAAGATCTTCAACCGATTGGCGACGTCGAAGAAGGAATGTCAGTGCACTTTGAAATACAGTTTGAACCTGTCAGTGATCCATCTCTAGTTGTCACCTGGTGAGTTTGTAAAATTGGTGAGTTCATTGCTGAAAACGACAGACTTTCCGGAAGGAAGATCTCCCCACGTTGCTGAGAGGTTCCTTTTTTCCAACAGGATGCGGTATTACCGCCAGGTGGGAATAACACGTACATCGCAACAACGATTAGAATCCGAATTTATTACACTTTCCACTTTTGGAATTTTACTTATTTGATACTGTAAGCGGAAACTCGAAGGATTTAGAAGGTGCTTTAATGAGACTCAAAATTATCAGTGTTGATAAAGTCTACTTTACCATGAGGCCATAACTCTGGTGAGAAAATAAGCCTCGATGATAGAATTTTCTCCGTCTTTCCCAAACCGGGCGTATGGAGTGCCCACCTGGGACTGGCGTGAATAGCGGATACTAATATCTTGATAATGGTAATGACGCTCCTAGATCCCAAAGGGCCTTCACTGCCGAGAGAGCTTATCAGTTTTCCTTGGTCAGCATTATCTTCGTTTTGCTGCTTGGGTTCATCTAGGCATCAAGAAGGTGGTAGCCATCACAGACCTATAATTTTCTTCAGAAAATCGTTTCAAAGGCCGTTTAACTAGTTATGTGGTCGCATGTGACCAGAAATTAACAAACGAACATAGACAAAAGGTAGATAATTGCATATGGTTGGATCGAAAGGCTGGATCAGTCCTCAAAGCTACCGCTGGTCAGTTTGATTTGGTCTACTGGCTGTCCGTAAAGCGTACACACAGTCATCACTGTGGTTGCGAGCATGTTACAGCCTTCTCTCAACCAAAGACAAAGCAACCCAATTGAAAAATTGCACTCATTAACAAATCCTCCCGGTGTGAAGGATATGGAATCTGCAGCACAGAGGTTGCCTAATGTTTCAGTTGATATGATATTTGAGGGACCGCCATATGTTACCTTGATTGAACATGCTGCTTGAAAGCGCAGTCTTCAGGATCCTAGGACTAGTTCCATCTTCTTAAGGCTCGTCAGGTAGATACAGCCCATGGAGTCCCTTATTTTCTACTCCAACAACCGGAATTTCAGCGGTCATATGCAAAGTTTTTTTCCATCACAGAATAAACTATCTATTGCGGCCCACATTGCCAAACTACATAGTGTAACGGTTCATAGGCCACTCTTTCAAATGTAAGGAGGGCACTGATTAGTGTGCGACAAACCCAGCTGATATTCATGCGTTGAAGACACAGCTGTGATCGAGTTATACTTAGGTCTAATGTAAACCAAATGAAACCAAGAATGAGGTTTCTGTGTAGTGTTATCGACTGAAAGGCAGACGCCGGAACATCTCTACTGACACGAAACTTAAGCATGACCAGCGGAGACTTGATGTATCACGCACGTCACGTCGTCTTTTGAAATAAGCATGTTTTGTTTTGCTTGGATACTCCGTAAATTTTTTCAAGTAGAGAGCAGAAATTATTTGCCCCGTGTTTGATATCCGAAGGTACAAGGACGATCAACTTTTGAGCACCGGTACACGCTTCCGTGTGAGCAACGATCGCGGGTTGGCTACACTTGAATTGTTGCATACTATTGCAGAAGACAGCGGAGAGTACTGGTGTCGGGTTGAAAACGTTTCTGGGCATGTTGACAGCCATCGCTCTCCCCTGAAGTAAGTAAATCTTCGTTTGGCAACCTGATGTTTGATAAATGCGTCTGATGATCTATGAGATTTCTGAATTCTCCATTTATTTAGATTGATTACTCTCTAGCATAAAATGTTTTGTCGTCAAAACTGTTTGAGCTACTAAAAGGCCACCACAAATAGCTCACAGGGGGCCGAATTCAGTGTTGCACGCAAGTCGTTGACGGCGCTTCAGAACTGACGGAATACTGTCAATTAGCAAGCCCAAAACTTGGATACTTCCTAGGCCTGCTGTTTAGCACAACAGGCTTCCAAGCCATCATTGTCAGTGGTTGATTACTGGGTGCAGATAACTGTAGGAGACACTTGATCATGAAAGGCACCAGCTTGCGTCCTGCGGATCTATCTAAGGAAGATGTTTTCAGTTGCACTGTGGCAATAGGTCAGAGTGATTTGAAGAAGGGCTGGTATACCACCAATCGTAATTCTCCAGCGAAACAAACAGAAAAAGCATCGCAAACAACCAACCATCATACCCATTATCCGTTGAAATAAGTGGGCACAGAGGTAGTGGGACCCAACTACTGGAGTTCTGAATGACAGACCGCATTTGTCGGAACACTTCACCCTGAAACAGAGGCTAGAGGTTGAGCTTGTCAACCTGATGCTACAGATTTTTTTACTGACACCGAGACAAAACTGGATCGTGCTGCGTGTCCAAGTTTATTCAACATGCACATAACTATAGTAGTGATCTGAAATTCAGAAAATATTTTGGCTGCTCAAGCTTATATGAATAGCTACCCAAGCAGTTCGCTATTCTCCTTGGCCAAACAGATAATACGTGTTTTGGAAGCCTGTATGTTGCCTTCTGCTAACGACTATGATATATAACGCTTAGTGAATTGGAACCGCAGCGCTCAACAACATGATTACAACATACGGCATCCGGTTCTGGCTTATGTTCGAAACTTTTTGAACCAGTGAATTTTTACTGATCTGTTTCTGGAAAGCGCAAAACATAGCTGGATATGGAATGAAATTATATTGGTACAATGTTTAGTTCAGATAACTGTTATCACCGCAAACGTTTTACTACAAAGCAAGTGGCTGGACAGTGGCTAAACTCGCAAGTTTTCATGATTAGCATAGATTTTGAATATAAGGAAAAACCGCGATCGATGGCACAAAAAGTAATTTTTGTCAGTTCATGGCTCAATAGGATTCAGACTGCACTCTGGCGTCACACCCGATATCTTGACTACTTCCACTTGCATCGTCCGCGATGACTTTGCAAAGGCTAATCAAAATAATTACACCCGGACGAAAAGGGGACTGTTCTAGCAAGGGTTCTTTTAAGGGAGATTATGCACACTAATTACACTGTTCGGATGGCCAGCTCTGGAGAAAATTTTAAGAAAATATCGAAACCAGCGAGTTGTGAACCATGATAGACGTTTCCGGTTAGGCGGTAGGAAGCAGTTGGCATCAGGTCGCACTCCAAATGTTGTAAAAAAAAACAGTCTGTGGAACAAACACAGGCTTCAGATGGGCATTAAACACTTAACCAGGAAAATGTTATGCTTTAGATGCAGGAACTTTCAAAATGACCCATGCTCACCGCAACCGTAGTATTATCATGTTGCGTGCCGGAGATGAAATCATTTTCTCGACGGCTTACAAACAATATCACGCGTCTCTCGCAGGGGGTGCTTGGCCCCACATTTATGGGCAGATGTCTATTAGTCCAATAACTGTTAGCAGGCGAATGTACTTTTGATACCAGGCGTCCATCAATACTGGTTCGCAGTTCCACGTAGGTAGACCCCACTTCATCTAAACCTCAGTCTTGGCAGGTACGTTCTGATGTAACGCTCATGAAGAATGGGTAATAGTGCTTAGTGCACGTTTCATAGACTGAACCATGCAAGTAAAATTCAAGGTCAGTCGCGTCATACGTATAAATACTTCTTTCAAGTGTCTGCCAATTTCCATATAATCTGTTCCAAATGATTTTCAAATTGTGGGGTTTCACTCTCTCCAGCTGTCTCGAAGGTGTGTCTGTGATCACTCAGAGCAACCTGTTACAAGGATCAGAAGGATACAATTTGATCAAGGCAATAGAGGAGGCAGACTTACAGTAAGTTGTTCAGTTCGCCTAACTTCAGCATTTAATCTACCCACAATCTTCCGTTGTTGGGAAGATTTTATACTCGTGTGGCGTGTGCAATGGTAGACGACTTTCCCTGTCGACTCTCGGTGATTTTGATCTTGCCGGTTAGATTATAGCACAAGTCTGAGGTCAGCACAAATAATCGATTTTGTTGACAATGCTTTACCATAGGAAGGTGCAAATTATCATGTATCAAATATCTACAGCTTAGCTACTCTCAATAAAAGTAGTTCAAATCTTCTATTCGAGGACGAGTCAGATGTTAACATATCAGGCTAGGTGCATTTACAGCATCCGCCGAGCATACACTGAGGCCCTTTTCTTCTTTATGAAATGTTTAGCTGACATGCGAAATATTACTCGATTCGATTAAGCTGGACACTCGTTGCACATAGTTTCTAATGGGCTTTTACTCAACCAGTCTAATAGATATTGATTTTTTGTGAGAAAAAATCTACCGCGTCTATGTGAGCCTCTATTGCTTCGCGCAAAATTCGCCCCATTACGGTCGTGTGAATATGGGGCAGGTTTTTTTCTTTGCGTTAAACTTATCAGTTTATACTCCTGTTAAAACTAGATCAAACGGTTGCGTCGCGAGACTTGTAGTACCTCTATCTCCTCTCAGGTACTCAAAAAATACTTTGGCGGACTTCAGAATGTAAATATGCTCGGGTGTTCAGATTCCATGGGCCTCCCGACAGCGCTCGTAGAAAACTGTATCACATCTGACCTCTAGAATCAAATTCCTAAGAATGGCAATTTTACCGCTAGCGAACTCCGGTGGAGACGAATCTGGTGTTCACCTTTCTCGCCCGCACACATGGCTGAGCAAAAAACGACAGAGGCCCTACAAAAACGTGGCAGGATAAAATTCGCCTCTCTCCCGTTGAATATGACGTGAAAGGAGCCTGCATATAGCTAGTTTATTGAATTCTTATGATTTTACTTACTGAAACTCGATCATTTCATTGTCTCCTGCCTCCAAAATCAGACGTAGACGTACAGGGTAACACTGTTTTGTAAGAGTTCGTGACAGAATCGGCTTCACATTTGCCAGCAGACTTCTCACGCAGTCTTTCTAAAGCTCTGGTACAAACAGAGTGATATAACGGAATCCATTGTCACCTAACGTGCAGCAGTAATATGCCTAAATAGGCAGCATGTGTTCGTCTTCAGACAGAGGACTCAATGTACCGAAATAATTTCCACACGTCCTGCTGAGACTGAATGTTGATAGCAAGTACGAATGAACATAATTAGACTGAACAACGTTGGAGTGTTCAGAAAAAAACAATTGTGTTACTGAAACGATAGACTACGCCAGCTGTTACGCCATTTCCTTAAACAGTTGTCTGACGATCTGTCGGAAGCATGCGGGTTGAATACTGCAAGTACGTGTTAGTCCTGAGAGAAACCATCAAGCTGCCAGTTACGGACGCTAAGGTGGAAATAAGTGGGTTTTACTGTGGCTTTAAAGAATTTCATAGAGTCAGAGGGAGCCACCGGAAGTATCCTTCAGAGACCTTGTGGTCCTTCAGAAGCAGTGCAAATTTTCTGCTAATGAAAGCACGAATTCGCCTCAGTCCGTTACCAGATGTCGAAATTGAACATACTCATTATTCGGAAACTTAGTCATCGAAGTCTGCACGGACAAAACCATACCAAAAACCATATCTATGAAGAGAATTGCGTTGAAAAGAGTGATCAAGAGTATAGTTTTCCATTTATGCAGTGGAGAATTATAGGGTAGCTTGAAGGGTTCCAAATTTTCGGCCCTCAGCTCTTGACTGTAAGTAAAATGGTGCAGTGGCAAGCTGTATTAGATACTCATTATTGTTTTGTTACAGAGTCAATGGCGAGTTTCAGTACGTTGAAGAGGAGCAGCCCGATTGTGCACCGCAGTTTGATGTGAAACCACAGGCGGCAACAATAAGTGAGGGTTCGCCAGTACGGTTCCTCGTACGTGTCAGCACAGGCGGCAACAATAAGTGAGGGTTCGCCGGTACGATTCCTTGTACGTGTCAGTGGAAAGCCTACGCCCCATCTAGTCTGGTATCTGAATGACGAGCCTGTTGAACAGGTAGGTTCATTCAGGCTAATGATGCAAACCACAGTATTTTGAATTTCATTTGTCATTATAATTATCACCATCAGCGGCTGTATAGTTACAATTTCTGGCGTTAACAGCATAATTTTCATCATCGTTAGTTCATTCAGGCTAATGATGCAAACCACAGTGTGTTAAATTTCATTTATCGTTATAATTATCACCCTCAGCAGCTGTATGGTTACAACCTCTGGCGTTAACAGTATAGTTGTCATCATCGTTAATTCATTTCAGCCCACAATATTGGCACTTGCATAAAACGAGGACAGCTGAATGTCATGTTGAGCTAATTGTATCAGAATTGTATCTATGCAAGAGCTGTCCAAGTAGGATGTGGGCGATTTTCAACAGCACAAGAACTGAAAGAGTGGTCAATATGTTTGTGGATGGTACACGCCGGAAGTTTTGGGAACGACAAGCAATCGCCCTAAAGGTTGGCGTGATGCAAAAACTAGGCATGTTTCTGGAACAGTGGCCTAGTGGTAATACAAGGGTAGATTTTCTCCATTCCTGAATAGAGTCGGCTGTATCTCTCAAAAGACCAATGTTACAGCGATTTAAGTTATCTACTGAACTAAAATTCAGCTTCATTGCATTCTTTCTTCGTTTCGTCCGCGGTCTCCTCCAAATGGATGCCAAATAAGGATAATTCCCAATATTTGTTACAGAGACACTTCACTCACTGCTTTATTTTAGCGTCAGTGTCCCCGACTATTTACAATAACTGTTTAGAATTCTACAGCTCAACTTTCATCACTTGGATTTGTCAAACTTTTCCAATCAGCTTGTAAGACCGTATAGTTTACCTACGGAGTTTTGAGTACAGCCGTCTCTCCACTCTACAATTTATCCTCATCAGGATTCCGTCACTCGGATATACAGTGACGGTGCCATAAACTACTTAGAAATGGGCCGCTGTCCAGCTCTACAAGGTAGCAATCAACTGCGAGTGGTGGCTGAAAACTCACTTGGTCGAGCAGAAGCAGAAACCGTGTTAACTGTTGTCCTTGCCGAGGACTATCGACCTGGTCTGAAGCACGTCCAACCCGGTATGTACTCTGATGAGAAATAATTCGCAGTTTATTTTCCAAGAATGACGCTACCTCCATCGAAATGTTCCTCTTCTTCACAGTAGGAAAATTTTCAAACGGTGGATATGTATCATTGCCACAGGTGGAGATGCTTCCGGACATGATTTATAGTACAAATATGCTGATGAAAACAACTTCAAATCACGGGTTTATGAATACAATTTATTCTACTCCAATTTGTTCATAGAAAGAAATTACGTCTACAAGATACACCTTCTTGGTTGAACTTCATTAGGAGTGGAAATTGTCCTGAGCCCCCCAAAAAAACTAATCATTTTGAAGTTTGAAGACCACGCAGAGAACGTTCCTCCAGTCAGTTCCAGCCAGTTGTTAACTCATTGAACAAGTCTGCTACCATTTTCTAATCTCATTCCAACAATCTAGCAATTATATCCTAATTTATTTACTCCATCATTTTCTCAAAGTGTGGGTCGCTTTGTAAACGGGCCCACAAACACTCAATTTAAGCTTCCGGGGACTCAGAATAGCCGGTTAAAAATAGCGCTTTGCTATACCCGAAGGCTTGGAAAGTAGCACATAAAGAATTAAAAAAAACTCATTATAATGCAGCCCGATACTCGCCGTTTTCCCACAGAAAATCCTTTCAAAAAGATGATGGGATTGCGTAAAGTCGACTGCACACCGGAGTTGAACAAAGCCCTATCAAGAACAAAGCCATCCGCGCAGGCAATTATGGAGATGGAACGAGGTAAACTAATAATTGCATACCGTTTTATGTGGTTCTCTTTTGATGCAATCTTCAACAATGTTACTGATTAATTTGGTTCCAATGTGGTACCTGAATTTCACTGAAGTGTCAGTATAGTGCCTAAGGCTTTTTTTAGATGACACTTTTATGGGTATGTACAACTCCAAATACAGGTTGCTGTTGCTGGGACTTACTAAATAGGCCTGGTTGCAAAGTTTACTTGTGTGCAAACAGACGCCCAGTCGCAAACTAATCAGCAGGGGATCTACATGAATTTCAGATTAATTTCTTGCTTCTGATATTCCAGAAGCCTTGTTCGGTCAATATTGTTGTTGCCGCATATTCCGACTTGCTGAATCGGATTTTATCCCACGCGTAGGAAAAGCAAGGAACCCGTTTGAATGTCCTTCATTTTTGTTCTGAATCGTTAGCAATGGGCACATTATAAACCATAGCGGAACTGCTTCGGAATAATCCAAACGCGACAGAAGCCATGAAACCTGAAAGTATATGCAAACTGTTGAACGTTTTTATGGATATATACTTCACCTTCGATGGACAAACATATCAACAGCTGAAAGGAACTCCAATGGGATCCCCAATATCAGGATTCATTGCTGAGGCGGTAATGCAAAGACTAGAGCGTGCAGTACTGCCGATCATCAATCCAAAGCTGTGGATCCGCTACGTGGACGACACCTTTGTCATTATGAAACGGGACTCAGTACACAACGCACATGAACTGCTCAAAACAACGTTTGAAGATATCAAGTTTACAATCGAACTGGAAAGAAACACTCGGCTACCATTCTTAGACGTCTTAGTGAGCAGAAAGGTGGGCGGAACTCTGGAAACCTGCGTATACCGTAAAGAGACTCCTACGGACCAAATACTGAACTACAACAGCAATCATCCAGTAAACCACAAAAAGAGCTGCATCCAGACCTTGTTCAAGAGGGCGAAGACACACTGCAGCACCAAAGAACTACAGAAGAAGGAGGAAAACTATCTATTCAGAGTTTTCCAGAACAATGGATATCCAAGGAGTCTTATCAGCAGAAGCTAACAGAAGAAATCTCAACAATGGCAACAGCAAGAACAGGCCAACAGACGGGTAGTCCTACATTACATCAAGAATATATCAGATCTCGCAACCAGATTATTGGTTCAAAAAGGAATCTTCGTGTCCCACAAACCGAATGCCACTCTAAAGAAATTAATCTCTTGACAATCGACTGCAACAACTTCTACGTTGGACAAACTGGGAGGAAATTATGTATACGAATAAAGGAACATAACGCGGCTGTCAGGAGGCATGACTCCTGCCCTTGATATCTGTACACGATGACCAAGAAGACCACAGTTTCAATCTGTAAAACGCGGAAATTTTGGCATACGGAGACACACGACACGGAAGAAAATTTCTGGAAATATGGTAATCCACGGCAGATTCAATCAACCGGTGCATCGAACTGGATCTAATTTACCCACCTCTATGTGCAAAAGACTAACATCTCGACCGGAACACTCAAGGAGGACAGAATATTTGATTCGCAAACGAAGAAACAAGGAAGTCCTCGGAGTCAAATCAATAAAGGTCATAAGCCGGAACTCGGAAGGACAAAGGTCACTCCAACACCGACTAGATTACGATGGTGAGGGATACCAACCTCAAAGGTCACGTGGGCATCGGCGAATGAGGACACGGGATAAAAGAACAACCAATGGAACCGCCCGATCGAATAACTAATCGCGGTCAAAGGTCATCCCCGGCTAACAGCACGTATATCAACACACGCGTAACACTAATCCACTCACAACCATTAACTCACCACTACGCACAACTACGCTCCCCAATAACGCACTGATGATGTCACCTCGATTTGTGATGAAACGTTTGCAATCAAATTGCCCAGCTCAGCGAACAAACCAACGACCACCCTATAAATCACCGTTATTCTAAAAGCACGGGATAAAACTCGAATTGAGTAACTGAGAATTACCAGCACTTTTTACTCTTCTTCTAGAGGCTATTTTGAGTGATTGTGGGACATCTGTAGCGTAAATGTACGATGCTCATCATCTATCTGAAAGGGTAGAGTGTCAAACGGGTTCACTTCGTGAGGTTGTGTGTCCCAAATTCTTACACGAGAATCCAAACCGATAAATGAAACACATAATAGCTTTGTGGATAGAACAAATGGGGGATCATTCTTTGACCAGTTTGTAAACTAGTAATTATTAGCAGCAGGTATGGAGTCAATTATGCCGGCTGTATAAATGGCGTCGGCGAACCCGTGAGATTCAGCGAAGTAACAGTTTCTTTTACGTCTTGTTTATGAGCCGAAAGTAGAGCAAGACCTCGGTTGAGTGAAACAAACAAAATTTCTGAATACGTGCACTGTAAAGGGTCAAGCTGTCAACCAGATTTTCCCAGATAAATGCGAGTCCATAAAACTAAACAGTCTAGTTACACAATACACTGCCTGAATGTAGAGTAACATAATTTTTATAACTTCTTGTCATTTAGGTACGGAGATGAAAGCCAAGATGTATCGCTCCCCGGAAGTTATTGAAGCCGAGAAGATGCTCGACCAATTGGCATTGAACCTTCGTAAATCGGAAGTCAAACGCGTAAGTGATATCGTTAGTCAGGAGACTTCATAGTGGCCCACCTTCCCTCGCTATCATGTAACGATGAACATATTTGCAATGCACTTGTGTTTGAGTGTTGGAGTCGCCAGTGTAGGATATCCCTACTTTTGACTTCTGTGGTCAGTACTATAAATGGCAAGAATTCGTATGCTTAGCTCTCAGCAAGCAGAAGGAGCTTTGAGTCTTTCAACTTGATGTGTCTTTGAAGAACATTTCGATGGATGTTTTTGAGGTAACAGAATGAGAAGTGACCAGTCGATCCCTAGGGAACTATATTTTTCTGGGCATTTGGTTCAAGTGTGTGGGCATGTTGCATTCGTTCCTCAAATACCCCCCTCTATTCCGTCGGCAGCCTGAGAGCTGGAAGTTACCCAGTATACGTCTAGCCAAAATTAATTCAAATGGAGTGAATTTTCAAGTTTTGTGTGACACTATTTATGTATCACTTAATGGGCTACATATGACTTCATTTGTTATGAATGAAGTAGGGGGATATTTTGGTTGGTGCGCAAAGTTCATTCACTGTTTATTATCTCCATTCTACTGACTAACTGTAAGCCACACTTTACCCACTAACTCCGGATTAAAAAGGAAACCCGCGAGGTAGATTGAAGACGAAGTATGGCGTCAAAATACTGAGTAAAATGAAAGCGGCTTTCTTGGATGTGTTGCGCAGAGTAGATCATTGTGGAAAATCCCGAAGAATGCACCTACTACAAAGGCAAACAAAACATTTGAGGGTCCAACTGCTTTTATAAAATCTATCATACAGACCAAACAACAGGGCAGGATAAATTAGCAACACCTCAGCTTAACACAAGTAGCAGCAGTGGTACTCAGGAGTGAAACCGTTAGATGTTTCCAGCCTACCAAAGTAAAGTAAACATCAAATACCATCACAAGCAGCTTTCATATTTTGGACCTCATTGTTTATTTGACAGGATTACACTAGCAAAGGAGTAAGTTGAACCACTGAGAGTCTGGTGAGAAGACCTAAGTTAACGTTAGACGCTTGCTGGCTTACAACAAAAGAAAACTTAAGACATCGCAAGTGCACGTTTTCTTTTACGCTCCTTTGCTTAATTCTTTGGCCTTCTTTGTTTTGAACAGCCTATCCAGGCAAACCACGAACAGTAGACTCTGGAGTGCCATCGTCCCACTGTCCATACTAGTGATAGACGTATTCAAGCATGCTTTTGGGGAAGATACGACCTCAAGGCAGATCACTTCATCAAAAGTTCATTTCATACTGCCGTGTTATATTCAACAAGTCCAAAAAAACATGAAACCGACTGAAAAAGATGCGAATAGGATCCTGGATTGGACGATCGCACTCTTATGTTTCGAATACCGCCCGCTAATTTTCCGTTCTATTCGCAAGCAACAAATAACCTTCTCAACGATGCGTTTGTTGCTTCATACATTGTGTTTCGACATTACCAGTTCGCTCGCAATAAACCTTGGACAGTCATTTCAAACATGCTAGTGTTATTTATTCTTATTTATTAATGCACATTGAAAAAAACTGATTGAATATTTATCTACACCACACGACTGAAAAAAATGCGCGGATAAGACTGATGTTCCAACCGTTTTATCTATCACTTTTCACTTGATGGACAAAATGCATTTGTTTTGGACTGCTTGTTGTTCATCACTGACCCATTGATCAGTTTTTATTTATCTTCTTGGTTCTCATTGTACCGAGAAAAGTAAAAGTGAGAACTAAAATGTATGCAATTACGGTGTTATCCCGTGACATTCGTTTTCGCAAATGTATCCGACTACCATGCCGCGTTCCCCGTTGTGTTGTTTTATTTCCGCATAAACCAGAAGTTTCGAGACTATGGAGTGCGGATTGAATCGGCCAATCAGAGTTTCTCGGTCCCGTCCATTTGACCGAATGTTCTAATTAAAACAAGTGTCCCTCACCTCCAAAAACTTATGGGTGCTGCTGGGAAAGTTGATTCATTCGAAGTGTGAAACTATCCTGAACATTGATGGCCAGACGAGAACTGAAAATGGGCAGCCTTACCTTTGAAATTGTTTTTGACAGTGTGATTGGATAGCTTGTTGACTGGCGAGCTAATTTCAGCTGATTTAGCATAGACGCAACCTGTGTATGCCGCGCCAGTTTCTGCATCACGCTATTTACGTCAAGGATCAAAGTATTCCAGGACAGAATACTCAGATTATAGACGTTATACACTACTCATAAGGTCACTGAAAAACATTGGACAGCCCACAACCGCTTTCGCCCTTGTTGGAGTTCATCAGGTAGGCGCAGTCCCCGAGATTCCGTCATCCTTATGTTTTACATGAACCGAGATTGCACGAACTTAGCGAAATACACACATTTACAAGCAAATTTGGTTTTGTGAGGGACTCACCTGGAACCAAGCTGAATCTCTTGTTTATGGGTCACTCACACAACCAAATTTGTTTGCAGATGAGTGTATTTCGCTGTTGCAGCTTATACTTTTTCCATGTTATTGGAGGTGGTGCCTTTTCCATCTTTCAATATTTGGTAAAAGTCTGCGCTCCGTGACATTTGTAACCGTCATTTGTCAGTATGAGGCTTAAAATGAGCTTTCCAGTTTGTATACGGGCAGTGAAACCATACTAGCGCTGATTATACACCAGCCTGTAAGGCAAAGCCAGCTTATCATTGTGACATCATTA